CTGCTGTCCAAATCCACATCACGTCTCGCCTCCTACCTCGCCTGTGGCTACGCGGCCTTCCCTCGATGCCTACATATCCACCCTACGCGGCCCGATGCCTAGCGTTTTGGACACAGCCCTTGACATATCAAAACCTTATGTGACCTTGAGAGACATTAAGAAAACGTTGATTTTGTACCAACAGATAGAAGACTTTTGTTTCTCCTTTTGACTTGTTGATGTTTTGTCCAATACATTTGTTGTATTTTCTGCCCTAAGAATAAAAAGCCATTTACTTTTCCAATTTCACCTGGTTGTTTATGTTACAGTTCCTTTCCCCTTCTCAGAGCCAAGTTTAAGGTTGTTACAGCCAAAATACCAGCAAGTGTCTGAAAACCTTTTGAAGACTTACAGAAAACTTACAGAAAGCTCTGTCATTGCCAACAAAGGGTATATAACCAAGTATTGAGATAACATTTTCTTATTGACCAAATACTTATTTTCCACCATAGTTTGATTTCAAGATTGCACCAAACAACAAGAGACATTTTACATGAAATAATACAGTAAGGCAGACAGTTAATAATGACGCAATTCCAAATAAAGAACAAGAAAGAGAATGTCACGTATTTATAAATACAACAATACATACATCGATATGACGGACATATCACTGGAATGTTGTATTTTTATTCAACTTCACCAAAGAGGACAACCCCGGCGTGTGAACATGTCGGCACTGAATGCGTACGAGTGCTCCTGAGGACTCGTAGGATTTGTACTTGCCCAAGAGAAATTCTGGTTACGAGAAATATTCGTGAATGCCACTTTCTTCGTAAAAACCGCGTAAGTAGGATTTACGTACAAATCTGTTCCTAAGAACCGTTCGTGAATGAGGCCCAATGTCCCTGTAGTTCTGGAACAGTCTCAGTGAAGTGTCGCAGATGAACCGTTATTATAATAGATCCTTGAGATGAACAGATGAAAAAAGTCGAGCTGCTTTCTTCCTCCATCCATCCATCCATTTTCTTCCGCTTCATCCGTTGCCGGGTCGCGGGGGCAGCAGTCTAAGCAGAGACGCCCAGACTTCCCTATCCACACACACCTCCTCCAGCTCATCCGGGGGGACCCCAAGGCGTTCCCAGGCCAGCTGAGAGACATAGTCCCTCCAGCGTGTCCTGGGTCTTCCCCGGGGCCTCCTCCCGGTGGGACGTGCCCGGAACACCTCCCCAGGGAGGCGTCCAGGAGGCATCCGGAACAGATGCCCGAGCCACCTCAACTGGTTCCTTTCGACGTGGAGTAGCAGCGGCTCTACTCCGAGCTCCTCCCGTGTGACTGAGCTCCTCACCCTATCTCTAAGGGAGCGCCCAGCCACTCTGCGGAGGAAGCTCATTTCGACCGCTTGTATCCGCGATCTTGTTCTTTCGGTCATTACCCAAAGCTCATGACCATAGGTGAGGGAGGGAACGAAGATTGACCGGTAAATTGAGAGCTTTGCCTTTCGGCTCAGCTCCCTCTTCACCACAACGGTCCGATACAGCGACCGCATAACTGCGCACGCTGCACCGATCCGCCTGTCAATCTCACGCTCCATCCTCCCCTCACTCGTGAACAAGACCCCGAGATACTTGAACTCCTCCACTTGAGGAAGGGCCTCTCCACCCACCTGGAGAGGGCAAGGCACCTTTTTCCGGTCGAGCCCCATGGCCTCGGATTTGGAGGTGCTGATTCTCATCCCAGCCACTTCACACTCGGCTGCAAACCGTCCCAGTGCATGCTGCAGGTCCTGGTTCGTTGGAGCCAACAGGACAACATCGTCTGCAAACAGCAGAGATGAAATCCTGTGGTCCCCGAACCGGACCCCCTCCGACCCTTGGCTGCGCCTAGAAATTCTGTCCATGAATACAGTGAACAGAACCGGTGACAAAGGGCAGCCCTGGCGGAGGCCAACATGCACCGGGAACAGGTCTGACTTACTGCCGGCAATGCGAACACAGCTCTGGCTCCGGTCATACAGGGACCGAACGGCCCTCAGCAGAGGACCCCGGACCCCGTACTCACGGAGGACCCCCCAAAGGACACCCCGGGGAACACGGTCAAACGCCTTCTCCAAATCCACAAAGCACATGTGGACAGGTTGGGCAAACTCCCATGAACCCTCGAGTATCCGATGGAGAGTGTAGAGCTGGTCCAGTGTTCCACGGCCGGGACGAAAACCACACTGCTCCTCCTGGATCCGAGATTCGACCATCGGCTGTAACCTCCTCTCCAGTACCTTGGAGTAAACCTTACCAGGGAGGCTGAGGAGTGTGATCCCACGATAATTGGAACACACCCTCCGGTTCCCCTTCTTGTAGAGAGGGACCACCACCCCGGTCTGCCACTCCATTGGCACTGCCCCCGATCGCCACGCGATGTTGCAGAGACGTGTCAGCCAAGACAGTCCTACAACATCCATAAACTTTAGATAGTCAGGACGGATCTCATCCACTCCCGGTGCCTTGCCACCAAGGAGGCTGCCAACCACCTTGGTGACCTCTGCCAGGGTGACAGAAGTATCCGCCCCAACATCCTCAGCCTCTACCTCCGGAGCAGAGGACGTGACGGGGGGATTGAGGAGACCCTCGAAGTATTCCTTCCACCGTCCGACAATATCCCCGGTCGAGGTCAGCAGCTCACCCCCCGCACCGTACACGGTGTTGGCAAAGAACTGCTTCCCCCTCCTGAGGCGCCAGACAGTTTGCCAGAATCTCTTCGAGGCCGACCGATAGTCACGCTCCATGGACTCTCCGAACTCCTCCCAGTGCCGGGTTTTTGCCTCTGCAACAGCCCGGGCCGCGGCACGCTTGGCCTGCCGGTACTGGACAGCTGCCTCAGGAGTCCCCCGAACCATCATGGCTCGATAGGACTCCTTCTTCAGCCTGACGGCATCCCTTACTGCTGGTGTCCACCACCGGGGTCGGGGGTTGCCGCCGGGACCAGCACCAGAGACCTTGCGACCACAGCTACGAGCCGCCGCATCGGCGATAGAGGAAGAGAACATGGTCCACTCAGACTCAATATCCCCCTCCTCCGCCGGGACCTGGGAGAAGCTCTCCCGGAGGTGTGAGTTGAAAGTCCGTCTGACAGGGGGCTCAGCGAGACGTTCCCAGCAGACCCTCACTATACGCTTGGGTCTGCCAGGTCTGACCGGCTTCCTCCCCTGCCAGCGGATCCAACTCACGACCAGGTGGTGATCGGTTGACAGCAGGGCTGGACTGGCCATCGGGCGTACCGGGCAATGCCCGAAGGGCCGATGCCCATATTTGGGCCGGTCTGTCTGCTTCATACAAAAAACATGTTTGTGAAAAGTGTAAATCCGTTGAGAAATGTTTGAGGGGAGCGCGCGTGTCCGCGGGGCACCTGCTGTATGTACTCGAACGGGATTCCACCACTTCAGCGGCCGCAGTGTTCCCGCATCCAGCGGCTCTGAGCTGGACGCAGGAACCGCTCACCGGGAGCCGCTCACAACACAACACGGTGAGCGCGTAGCCGCAACGTGACCATGTACCCAAGACCATAAACGCGCACAGGACCATGCGTGTCTTTTTGTAATTTGTGCACCCAATAAATACACCGCTGCAGAAAACAGTCCGCGTCTCCCCTCTCCTCTAAATTAAAGCTCGGGTACCTAAATTTTCCATTGCATTAAAAGTTCATGTTTGAGCCCAAAAGTAAAATGTTGTGAACAGATTAAACAGATTTAGAGCCAGCTAATGACTGACAATATGCATTTCAGAAATGTTTACCAATTCTCATCCCTGTAACAAACAATAGTATTGTCTGTGTCACCTCCCTCACTCTGAGACATGTTTATTACTCTGTTTAATGTAGACTATTGTACTTTATTTTATTGATGAAACTGCAGACATCCTGATCCTCTGCAGTATTTGCTTCCACATACTGTATAAACCAGGGGTCGGCAACCTTTAGTGCCCCTAAAGTGGCTCCTGGAGCCTTTTCAAAAATGTCTGAAGTGTGAGGGCTATATTTTATTTCTAGTTTCAATGTGGTTTCTGTAGGAGGAAAAACATTCTTGAGGTTTTTCAATGCTGCAAAAACTTGTATAAGTAATATTAAATTTTAGCATTTCTGTCAACGTAGTGCGTCATATCCTGTGACGCGGCCCCGCGCCAGGCGGCCGCTGCTGT